TAGATGGTTTCTCCTAAGATGTACAGCTGTGGACCCTATTTTTCCTGTAGCAGCACTCTCTAGTAAACTAGAGAAGGAAAGGTATTAACAAGAAACAGTATGTTAGACTTCTTGACATGTTTTATTGAGCCTGCTGTGGTGAGAAGGCAAGTAAAAACACTTAAAAATAACTTTGATGTTCTATCATACTTGAGTAGGCAGGCAAAACTCACTTAAACAAAACATCTACTTGTTTCAAGAGCTCTGTGAAAGATTTTTAAGGCTCTATTCCAGCTGAGATTCAACTCAAGATCTGACACTAGTGGTTTTCAGTCTCCAAGAATTTATGGAGTCTATTGTATAAGACCAGTTCCTGACACCACAAGTCTGTCTTATATTAGACAAAGCCACCTACTCCCTTGAAATAGTTAAGCCTGTGCTTGAGCCTTTGACTGACCTGAAGCCTTATGGACAGACCAGTAGGTTTATACTGCAGGTATAAACACTGCATAGCATCTAAAATCATAAATCATCCCACTATAGAGAGATATATATATATATATATATATATTTTACCCCTAGTTCTGGCCAGTTGATGTATTAACAGTTCTTCTTCTGTGGCACACTTTGCTTTACTACCTACTCTGCATTAAAGAAGCAGGGAATCTTTTTTTAATCTGGTCTTGTTTACCAAAAGGCAGCTGTTGCATTCAGCTGCTACTGTGCTTTTTTAATTAAAATAGTTTCTCACCCTTTCTCAGATCCACTGACTCAGATCCAGGGCAAAGATGTTGACATCTTACTGCATGCTTGTATGTAAACCTGCAGGGTGACTTTTGGTTGAATGGGGAAAAAGTGCAACTGCAGTTATCTCTTTCTGTGAAGGGAAGGAGCTGTTGTTTCTTCTTCAGATGCAGCAAACCTGTGTGTGCTTAAAAAATACTGCCTCCTCTCATGATTTGGTGCCTGGCGTGGAAGCTGTGACTGTCTGCCTAGTAACCCACTAACGTGCATTAGGAAGTTCTAGGTTGTTGGTTTGTGTTTTGCTTGATTACTCAAGAAGCGAGTCACAAGAATACTCAGCATTTCAATTCCCTGCTTTATCTCCGCAAAATAAACATTCTTATCATAGCAGAATAGCATGGTATACTTAAGAAAAAAAAAATCACAACAGTCCAGTGTTGGTTTTAATGGTTATAGATACATTTTTTTTCTGTATCTAATTCAGACCCTCTAAATGCAAAACTTTTTCCTAATACAATTCAGTTGTGTTTTCTGTTCACCAGAGTGTGTGATGAGAAGGTAAAGTTCTGTGTTTGGTAAAGTTTCATCGTTGCTTACACTAATGTTCTATACTTAGTTTTGTGGTTTTAGGGAAATAATTTTAGGTCATCAGCAGTTGTTTTTCTGATTAAAGAAATAATCTTTATCCACTAATTACATATTTATACTGAGAAACAAGTCAGAAAACACTTAAGAATAGAAGTATGCTAGAAAAGAGAATGTGTGCGGCAGGAAGAAGTCGCACATCTGTGCAACAGTCCTCCCCCACTGTCTTACCAAGTTCAGATTGGTGACGCAGTTACCTATAGGTCTGTATAGGAGATGTTGGTATCTAAGTCACCAAGCTGAGATAGGATGGGACTTCTGGAGGTCATCTAGTTTAGCCCCCTGCTCAAAGCACAGTCACCTAGAGCAGGTTGCTCAGAGCCATGTCCAGTCAGAGTTTTCATATCTCCAAGGATGGAGACTCTGCAACTTCTCTGAGCAACCTGTACCAGCATGTGGCCACCCTTACAATAAAAAAAAAGACTTTTTCTTATGTTCAGAAAGAACCCCACAACCTTTAAAAAAACTCCAAGCAACATTAACTTAATTTAGGAGTGACTTGATCCTTGCTGGTTTTTGATACAAGAGAAGAAGCAGCAGCTTCTTGAGACAAGAAGAAGATACAAGATAAAGAGTTTACATCTTAATTAATTGCTGGATGTTTGCAGAGATGTGGTTACTGTTCACCCAGTGGCATGCTGCTTAATCTGGAGAAATTCCAGCTGTGGTTCATAAATGTTTGCCAGGATAGTGCCTGCATTGTTTATTTTAATAATTTGAAACATTTCACAGTGTTTTGGGGTTTTTTTCTCTTTTCTTTTTTTATTCTTTTTATTTTAAACTGATGTTTACTTGATCTTCACATACTCAGCATCCATGTCTGTTTGCTGAGGGAGCCAGGGTCAGAGGGCACACCGGGGCACGTGGAGTCTTCGCTTCTAGATACTTGTGTAAAAGGCCTGGAGTGGTACAGGTAGATGAAAAGAGCACGAATCTTGATTAGGCCAAGAACAATTCCAGGGAAATATGTATTTTGCTTTTTTCTCACTCATCATGGCATCTTGTCTTTACTAATGAAAAGAGATCAATGTTTAACGTATATAAGGGTCACGGGAAAGTGAGGTGTTGCTTTGCTGCTTCTGCTAGATCAGTACTGCATCAATTGCCTGTCCTAAGTAATAACATGATATTAACAGGCTGTGAGTTATTTTACTTTAAGAAGCGGGAACAGAGGAGTCAGTGTTTTTCAGTAAGTGTAGCACGGAAGCCAGCTGTTACTTATAAATGACATAATTCAAGCCTTGGCATGTGTCAAAATAAATAAATAAATTCTTCCCTTGGTTTTCATCAACATTTGCGAGGTCTTCTCAAACTACTGCAAAGTCATTCTGTGTGATGTAGTGTCTTTCTCTAAATACTGTCTGTATGTAAAGTCCAGCCACTGCTGAATAGCAATTTTGTCAGTGTCCAAGGTGTTCGATAACAAAAAAACATTGAAGAAATCAAATTCAGTAACTGCACATCTGTGATGGATCCGTAATGCCTTGTTTGGGCTTCAGCTCAGGTATAACCCTTGCAGCATCTGCACTCCTGGAAACTGTCCTTATAGTTGTCAGCGTGGGTGGTGCTGTGGGAGTTTAACCCTGGTCGAGATAGCGTCACTGTTTGCCTGGGTGAGAGCTGATGTTCCCGGCTTTAACAAAGTGTGTGTTTTCCAGAAAAGGTCTCATTCCTTTGCTGTTGCCTCAGCAAAAGCAGATGTGGGATTGCAGGTCTCTGTGAGTATTCTGGGCAACTCAGAAGTAAAATTGCCTATGGCTGGTGAGTCCAGACGCTCCCATGAGAGTAAAATGTGTTTATTAGAAAATGCTAAAGCAGTTGCAGCTTGAAATACGGGTGGAATAAAGTTTTATGTTTCCCTGTCATCCTGATACGTTATAGAACTAAAAATTGGTTCTTTGAAGGAGTATTAGTTAAATAAAACCAAGGTGCACCTTGAGCTCACTGTGGAGCAAATGCGTATCACTTGAGGTTACAAGGCTTCTTTATACCTTTATGTTCTTGTATATAATTAAAAAGTTAGGCAGGAAGCTGCCCGAGCTGAAGGCTTTCCCACTGGTTTATGACATAGCTGAGAACAGACTTGAGAAGTCATGACCCTGCTTTTCTTACCTCTTCCCCATTATCTTTGCTGAGTGATTAGCTGATGACTCATGCCTTGTGCTCAAGGGTGAAGTAATGCTTCCTGAGTTGTCTTATTTATTTTGTAATCTGTTACTTATTGTCTTAAATCCACTAGCTATATGTGTATGTGGGTAGATCTGTCTGTCTCTCCATATCTATATGTCTGTGTTTCTTTGTCTATAAAAAGAAAACTGTTGAGGTCTTTATGAGCACCCAGAATAAAACCATTCAGTTTTCACTGTTCAATCTCCCCCCCAAGTCCTTTGCATTGGTTTATGTACATTATTGCATTTTGCTTAAGCATTAGATAACCATAGAAGTGTCTGAAAAAGACAGAGGTCGTGTCTCCAAAGCATTCTTTAGGTTTAGGGATGCGTTTCTCATAGGGGAGATGGTTCTTCTGGGCTGCTGTTTCAGTCTACTGCTCCCAGACCTCTTTATGTACTATCTACAACCAAATACTTGTAAGTAAGCAAGCTCCAATTGATGCTTGACAGAGGAAATTTGTTTTGTCAGGGACCTGGCACACTTAGCACGGATTTTTCTCAAATTAATTCGGGGAAATTAAAAAGTTGGCAGAATGATCTGCTGTAATCATAGATGGTGGCCCCGCATTTGTCATTACGGCGGCAGCACAGGCTGCAGAAGAACCTTAATCTCCTAGGCCAGTCAGAGCAGTGGGGTGTAACCAAGCACCGGCCTTGCAGCAGCTTTGCAGATAGCATATGTGTGTTCCTACCTTATAACCATGTCAGAAACTGTGACCAGTTACTGTTACTTAAAATATATCAGATGGTAGTTTGGGTTTTGTTTATATTTACATCTGTGGACTGTAGCAGACTGCTCTCTCACACAAATGCAAGTGATACTGTATGAGGAAATAATACTATTTGAGAGTGTAACCTAGGATAGTGGAATAAAAATGAACATCTAAAATAATGAATAACTTTATTTAAAAAACATAGCTATTTACAGTTTAAAAAAAAAGCCAAACTGCCATAAACAACGTATGCTATTATGAAGGTGAAGGCAAATTTACAAGAGACTCATTAATCTACATGACATGAATGCTTGAGTAGGAGAAGGGAGTGAAAAATAACAGAGATTAAATAACTTTCCCAATTAATTAGTCTGTGGCTCCTCTTACGCTTTCTGAAGTATTTTTATCTTTCATTTTGTGTTTGCATTTGTCATGTTATACTGGTTTCTTCAGGTGCAAAAGTTTTACTAAGAACACAGAACATTACAAGAGACAAAGCTCTTTTGATGAAGTATTGATGACGGTGAACTCCTGGCAGGGAGACAAATGAGTAATTAATCTGGTCAGTGTTTAACTTTTATAATGCATCTGTTGGACAAATACAGGATCACTTCAACTGGTCTTTCAGAAAACAAAACTAAATTGCAGAAAAATAACAGGGAGGGAGCACCTCTCAGTGTTGCAACTTGTTTGTCATGAAGCATTAGATGCTAATGTTGTGTATATTTTCCCCCTCCTGTAGGTGCCTGAGATTATAAGCTCGATTCGACAAGCTGGGAAAATTGCTCGTCAAGAAGAGTTTCAGAATAATCTCTCAGATGTTGAAGACCCTTTTGCCAAAAAGTTTGAGGTGCTGTTCTGTGGACGGGTGACAGTAGCACATAAAAATGCACCTCCAGCACTCATAGATGAATGCATTGAGAAATTTAATCGTGCAAGTTGTACAAAAAAATCAGATTTCAACTCATCATCCCAACAACATGAAACTGCCAATAACTTTGGAGGCTTCTCTTTCAGCAACAAATTTCGGTCTGTCTTCCAGCCCTTGGTCAGTGAAGAGGAGGAGAAAAGACCAATTAGGAAATCCTTTTCTCAGCCTGGGCTTCGTTCCTTTGCTTCTAAGAAGGATTTGCAAGAGGGAAGCCATAGGAGTAACAGCTTTGTCAGGTCTTTTGAAGAAGATGCAATTTCACTGAACCTAAAAAGTCAACTTATCTATGGACACAGTGTTGTGCAGCCAACAGACATTGCAGAAAACCGGACAATGTTGTTTACGGTAAAACAAGATTTGCAGCTTTTGGTGGCATTTTCACATCTTGGAGTTTGGAGTGGCAAACACCAAAGCAGATGTTCTGTACAGATGGCACTTACTTCTTTAATAACTTAATTGCAATTACCAGATCTTAACTTAAGCTTGTCTATTTCTCTAGAAAGCATTACCAGTCAGTGTAAATTGTTTTATGTAGTCAAAATAAGTTTATATGAAATAGTTTAAAACAGCACTACCTGAAAAACTGGGCTTCTAAAGACAGGTTTCAGAAAGCCATAGCAGGTTACTAGTAGTTATACAATAGCAAAATGGTCTGTACAATTACGATAACTACTAATAGCAGAACTAAATTTCCAGGTGAATGAGTTCCCTGTAACCAGAGCAGAAGGATCAAACCATGACTAGGGGCTAGTAGACTTTTATGTCCCATGATAAACATTCATGAAGATGTTCCTGCTGACAACATGTCTGTATAATGATGGAGTAGCGTAGTAACTTCCTAGGCTACTCCACACCTGCCTTTACTCCTGTCCTGCTTTGGGTGTCTAGCAGTGCCTTTGCCTTGATAGGTGAGCAGCAAAAGTATTTTTCAAGACCTGAAAAACAAGTAAGGAATGTGCTATTTGCTCCTCTCGTAATCCTTATGATGGAGAAGTTATATTTTATATATCTTGTATCTTATTAACACAATGCAAACTTGGAACTGATATTACAATGGCTGGCCATCGTAAGGTCATCTTGGATCTGTCAGGTGCTGTTGGGGCTGGGAGTTTTTAAGGACAGTAACAGAGTGGAGCGGGTGCAGTTACAGCAGGTTTTTTGGACAGGGGAAAAAGAAGTACTGCTTTAAGAAAAACTACCAAAGTGTTATGTCTGTAAAAAGTAACACACAGAAGGAGGTGTAGTTAGCTATAACTGATTTAAAACTTCAGTTTAGGCTTGCCTCAGAGAGAGAAGTGGAAGAAGATGAAGGGAAATTTTGTGCCCCTGTAAAAACAGTTCCTTCTTCCCCTAAGCACTTATTTCATGCATATAATATAAATATCTTTATAATAATGCCTAATTTTTAAACAAATCCTGATTCCATTATTAATTTATGGCATATATTTTAGAGATAGAGAGACTATAGATGGACTGCTGGGGTCCAGATCCTCTTACTCCAGTGAGTGCATCTTTAATTTTTATTCAGTCAGTGGCAGCAGTTCTCAAAGACACGTGTAGCTTCAGCCTGAATATAGCATCAGTCACCTGCTGACAGGCTCATTTCCAAATTGTGGGGCTCTGCTGATTTGGTTTTCTATCCCAGGCTTTTTGCCTGGGAAAATATCATTTGGTATGCACAGTTGTATTATTTTGCCATTCAGTCATTCTAAATTCAGCTGAATATAAGGAAGTGAAGTAACTGTGGTTTGTGCCTCCAGCTCAAGGCTCGTGGCAGAGCTGATTTTGTTGGTTAGCTGTGTCCTGTCTTCAGCAGGTTCTAAATAACAGTATGCATGCAATGTACACAGGTCTTCATCAATTTGTGTGTGGCTGCATGTAAGTAATTTTACATCCAGAGGAAAAAAATTGTTTGTATTTTCTCAGTTAAAGTTCTTGGATTTTCCCCAGGACTGCAGTAGAGGCTGTTTGGTGTATGAGGTGTGAAAAATGTTTAGATGAGTTATCTGCTGACTTTCCTCACCTGGTTCAGACAGTCCTGACTTTTGTATCTCTTCCTGAAGAACTGCTTTCCTAGCAAATGTCTTACAATTTTGGTGTTTTTATTTTTAGGCTTTTCTCCTGGCTGTATTTTTCAGGGGCAGGGGGAAAAGGGGTGTATTGGGGTTTTTTCCCCCACCTTGTTCAGTTGGCATCAAATTATCCCTGCTGTCCTGGGACCAAGTGTGAAAGGAGTATGTGGGGCTGAGCTAAGAAGGAGCCTCCTCCTGCAAGGAGCAGGGAGAGGAAGGTAGCAGCAAGCAGGAGGAGGCTGCTGAGTGGGTGTTGGAAGGAATAACCCCATGAACATGTTTGAGGTCAGCACCAGGGACAATGCAAGGAAACCAGCAGGTAGTTGGGGAAAATCATTGTGACCAGCTGAAGTGAAAGAAGAGGTGGAAGGTGAATGCACAGGACCATTTTTAGACACACAAAGGTGGAACATCTCACTTGATCCATTCACACACAGGATCCCCCCCTTTCCCCTTCCTTAAGAAATGACAGGTATATTGGTGCTGGTTTTAGGTGTGTCTTTTGGGATCTGAAGCTTCCGCAGGTTTGTCTAAGTCATGCTCGTGAATGGATCCAGATTCCTCCCATCTTCCCTAAAATCTGATAAGAAACTTGTCCTTAGCAGACTTTCTGATGTTCTAGAAACTGCGAGGAATTTAAATTATCTGTTAAAATGTTACAAAGACACTGCCAGAAGCTGAAATATTGAAAACGATAGTTTCACCTTAAAAATGCTCTTTGCCCATCAAAAGTTAGCATCAGCTTTTGGGTAAATGCTGAACAAATGGCCTACAGATTAAATTAAGTTAGAGAATATGCTCCAGTAAACTCATTTGTATAGCCTGAGTAGAAAGCTTTTAAATTAAATGCCATGTGTGTCGTAAATAAACAAAACTCTAAAAAAACAGTTAGGTGGAATACAGGTAGAGTTATACTCTTGGATTTAAATTTTGGGACAGTTTCATTAAGTAGCTTTTGGGACTGTGGTATGTGCCAAGACTGCAGAAAATAAGAAAAGGGAGTGTGAGTGATTTTTCTCAGTGCAAAGTAAGTTACTTGTGGTATGATATTACTCTCATCTAATTAAACACTATTCACAGCCTACTTTCTCAAAGGTGAAACTAGATCTCAATTCAGTAATGTGTGGAGCTCTGAATGCCAAATCAATGTTGTTTCAGTATTCTTTTTCTCTGGTAATAATACCCTAATTGGTCTAAACATACAGAAAAAAATAAAATATTGAGATTTATGTCCAGGAAACATTTTTATAGCAAGACAAAAGGAAGTGTAATGTTACTTGTTATCACCTTGCTATTTATTTTGCTCTTTTTAGATTGGCCAGTCTGAAGTTTACCTTATCAGTCCTGACACAAAAAAAGTAGCAATTGAAAAAAGCTTTAAAGAAATATCCTTTTGTTCTCAGGTAAGATTATAGTGTATTCTTTCTATCTCTTTTTGTTTAAATAGTCTCCACTTGTGAATGCTCAGGTACTCCTCTCTCCTAGCATTTCAAATGGATTCTCACCCCAGAGGTTTCAGTAATTACTATTGACAAGTTGCTAGTTAATCAGTAATTTTGTAAAACTGTAATTTTTTTCTCTTGCTTTGCATTGTAATTTCTGAAATAAAGAGTGTGTTGTGTGCGGTGGATGAATAATGTGGGCCAGAAGGAACACCCTGGTCAGGTCTGGTTTGAAATTTCAGCAGGCATGATTCACAGTTGTGTAAATCTGGGGTTCTCTGAGCCATCTTTTTAAAGAAGTGATAATGAAAGGAGAAAAATGATATGTGTTATCTGAAGAATAATTCAAAAATACTATTTTTTAAGAGTATAGGTTACATGGGTGAAAAAGAAGACAACCCTCTGCCATACAGAGGCATTGTGTGTTGTGCACTGACAGCAAGCATGTTTCAGAGCCTCCTCATTCACTATTAATCCCTGTTCCTTGTGCCACAGAGTTTGCTTCCCTGTCCTTCTGCCTCTCATTTTTGTGGCTCTGACTTTGATTTTGCATGGAGTACGTGAGGGTACGATTTACCTAATGACTTCTTTCGAGTGGTGATATTTAACAAGAGATGCAGCTTACACACGTGAAGGAAGACGCAGTAATGACGTTGCATAGGTTACACAGGCGTGTGAGTCACACTCAGCTCCTGCAGTGGCTCAGTGGTGTGAGGGCAGAGTAGTCACCGACACATCAAGGACATGGGACAGCTCAGGCGGTTCCAGCGCTCCGGTGTGGGCAGCTGCGCTAACTGCTGGCGAGTCCCGGGTACAGGAGCCGAGGACGTTCCCTTGAGAGTTGCGCAGATACCACCCTGCAGACCGAAATGACTGTTCGTAACAACGTTTCACAGACCCGTTGGTTTTGTTAACTGAAGAGTGTCATGATGCAGGCATTTGTCTTTCAGTAGCCATTTTCTGTTCTGCAGGGCATTATTTACATTTAGTTTGTCTGTGTACCAGATTTGATTCAGTTTAAGTGAATGGGGAAATTAAATTTAATTCATTAAACTAGGATAGAGTCCTTAGAGAACACTTAATTCCTTTAAAGCCTGTTAAAGGATCATTTTAGTTTAAACCTCTGAGAAATTAACCTGAACTATAATTATATAAATAAACTTATGAGGAATGAATGTTCCCAGTAGTTTAACTGAAAATCCACCCTGAATTAAACCAATGCAATGCTTGTTTGTACTGTGGGGCTTTAGTGAGAGTAAGACCTAGTATACCAGGATGTGAATTTTGCCACTCTTTCTGGCACTAGGAACTATGTTGCACTTGGTTTACTTCGTAGTACAGGTCTGCTCAGTGCATCACAGGTTTTGGTCTTAATGATATTGGGGAAAAACGTTTGGGTTTTTTGCAGGTTTTTTTGTGGGGGTTTTTGTTTTGTTTTGTTTTTTGCAGTATGTTTATTTGCCCATTTTTAAATAGAAGGAATATGATTTGCTGTTATATGCTTCTAGCTTCTTTTTTCATAAATGTTTTTTTTAATTTGATGAGGATAGCTTTCATCACTAAACATACAGGTAGCTGTTCTGAAAATTTCAGAGTAAACATAGTAATTTACTAGTAGCAGTAAACTACATGGTAGTTTCAGTAGTTTGCATGTTGTCAGATCAAGAGCTTTGAAGAGAACTCCTTGATGATAGAAAAATCTTTTTCCTCATGTTCCTTAGGCTGTCTCCTTAGGCAGCAGCTGGTTATGTAGACTTTGTGACTTGCCCTGAAGGTCAGTAGACGATCGTGCTCCTCAGAGCAGTAGGAGCAAGATTCTGATTGAATTCTCTCCTCCCGTCTGAAGAACGTGCTACTGGGCAGATGTTACGTCAGTTGGACAGGTGTTGGTATTGGGGTACAGAGGGCTTTTCCCACCAAGTATACGCGTTTCAGAAGACTTGACAGAATGATATTATACGCTCATCTTGGTCATACAAGAACTTTAATAATCTTTTCTTGAAGGCCCTGGAGTTAAATTATAAGGGAGATCGGAATCAGTACTTAATTTTCAGAATGCCAAATCTGTCACTGAGATATTATATGGCAGAAAGAATTATGTGGTCCTGGGGCAGTTTCTGAATTAGCTAATCTGAAACAGCTAAGAGTGTTTGCCAACTCCTAGTACCTTGCAGTTTTGTGGGTAGGGCCATGATCCCAGCTGGCCTCCCTCCTCTGTAGCAGTTGGATTTTTCAGGAGAAGGAATGGGCTTTCAGAAGAACATGGACTGTGAGGTTGGAGAGGGGGCCCAGCATGTTCTGTCCACAGCTCTGATGTGGATGATGGAGGTAGAGAGTCTGAGTTGCATCAAGCCTGTTCTTGCTTTATCACATAACTGACTCCTAAAATGCTTAGCCTGGACATCCAGTGGAGTTAGAGTTGGGGAAGCTGCAGATTTTACATGAATGTCCTTCTGATCTTTTTATTCTCATGGCATATTAGTGCCTGATGTTATCTATGTATAATTGTTACACCCCAGCAAACTAGGTATCTCCATATACGTTAAATTACTTTCCTTCATTCAGCTGGCATGCTCTGAAGCTTTATTGTTAGTATTTTGAACAATAAGACAGCACTGTTTGTATTGCTTAAGGATATCTGATGCTATAACATGTTCTTTTTTGGGACACCTGGCCATTCTGTTTTATAGGAGTATTCACTTTTTATACTTTTTAAATGCTTTTAAAAATATTTTTTTCATGATAAAAAGACAAAGAGAATATTCATTGATTCTTGCTGTGTTAACAAGGAAAAGCAAAAAAAACCCAAAACCCAATACAAAAGTCCTTTTTGGCATCTTCACATTGTTTAAATTTCACTGAAATTTCTGATTTACTGTTATTCATCCTTATGATTTTTCATACAATAGTTTAGTGCCTCTCTTTGCCCAAATTTAATATTGTTGTGCCATGACAACTAGAAGGTAGTAAAATGGTCCTGAGAGTAATTTAATTTCTATAAACAGGCACTACCACTGTGCACGTAATTCATCATCATAAGCTGGTTTGGTTTTTTTCCCCGCTAACCGAGAATGGTGCACTGAGGAGACATACACTGGGATCACCCAGCTCTACTCACGTGAAAGTCTTTTCATAAAAGAAAAAAATTCCCAGCAATTAAAAAACCTTCTTAGCATTTTACCAGGATGTATTGTTTATCTACTGTTGTAAGTAGATTGTTCCTGGATTTGCATGCCTTTTAGGAGAAATAAATGCTTCCATGAGTGATCTTTTAGTAATATATTTAACCATTTTCATTTTTTAACTAACCAAGCTTTTCTTTAGATGAAAAAAAAAAATGTTTATCCATTTTTCACTATTGCTTTGATTTGCTCTTACAAATGTAAAGCAATTATTGACCACTTAAGCAAAAAAGAAAAACAGAACAAGCTTTTTTAACCCTGGTGTTTCCAATATTGAGTAAAATACATCTTGCATAGTATTTGTTCATCTCTGTAAGTGTTTTCCAATGGAACTATTATCATTCAGTCATTAAAAATAAAAACAAGAACAACAAATAAACTCTTATTTAAGTGAAATTTAAAAGATTCATGAAGTAATAGGTTGCATAACAGAATAGGTTTTTAATGGCCAGCTGTAACAGGTACATGACTTATCTGTAATGCTGTTGGGCCTTTCAGGCTTTTGTTATTTGGAAAAATAGAGATATAAAACATTGAAAGTAAATATGACTGCTTCATTACTGTTGTTTTTTTTGCTAGGGAATTAGACATGTGGATCACTTTGGGTTCATCTGCAGAGAGTCTTCAGAAAACGGAGGCTTCCACTTTGTTTGCTACGTGTTTCAGTGTACAGATGAAGCACTGGTAAGTGAAGGAAAGAAGAGCCCAGTAGAGTATTAGGCCCTTCTCTTGCTCCATGTTCTGTGTTTTGCTGAAAGTATTCAAATCCTACTCCACTCAGAAATATAATTATTTCAAAAATGTAACTAACATAGCACTCTGTAAAGGAACTTTTAATTTCTGTTGAAGGCAGAGATTAAAATCCTCTTTAAAATCCAATAAAACTTCCTTTCATTGCACGAAGTTAGACTGTATGTCTCTGTTTTTGGAAGAGAGTTTTTCCATAGTCTTACCTGTTCAGAAAATCAGGACTACACTGCTGTGCTCTAGGTCAGGCCAGTGCGTCACAACTGCAGTAAGCTTTTTTTTTATCAGAGACAAGAAAAGGTTTCTAGATAGACTAGTCTTACCTGTTCAGAAAATCAGGACTACATCAGAGACAAGAAAAGGTTTCTAGATAGATGTAGTAGCTTTTATTAGAGCACAGTAATAAAATTGGGTGGCCTGGAAGAGATATGACTTCATTATGAGTTTTGTCTTGCTTGTGTGTTTGTGTGCAGAAATGGCACAATCATAAGCACATTTCCAAACAAGCCTCAGTATCATTCTAAAAGATTGTTGTGTGTTAAGGAAAACAGAAGCTCAGTGCAGGAATGAAATTCTGTTCTTTTGTACTCTATTCATTTCAGGTTGATGAAATCATGATGACATTGAAACAGGCTTTTACCGTAGCTGCTGTGCAACAAACTTCCAAGGCACAGACCCAGCTCTGTGAAGGATGTCCTATGCAAAGCTTGCATAAACTCTGTGAAAAGATAGAAGGTGAGGTTTAAGGAAATTTCTTGTCGAATAGTTTTTCTGACAGTTCTACTGCAGGACAATCTTACATGTGAAACTCTAAGGCAACAGATGCTTAAAAAGACCTTGGCACTTGAGATGGAGGGTTGAGAGACAGTCTTTTTATTTAGAGGACTGCGATGTCGAGTTATCTATAAGTTAATAAGAATTTTCTAACAAAAGGTAAGCTCCTTTCTTGTATTTTAGTTGAATTTTTGAAAACTAATTAGGAGTCTAATGTTACTAAATTACAGCTAGCTTGGTTCTATTAGCTGTATAAATGCAGAGGACTGTAGATAAGGAACTTCTCAAGAATATATGGTGCAATAGCTATGACCTGCTGTCCTATTGAATCCACTTGGATACTGACATTACACCACCACTAAACATGAACCGAACAGTGTGCTTTTAATATGTGTGTTTGTGGTGTTGATCTGTGCTCCTTCATGAAAATGCAGCAGTTAGAATTGTAGGTGTTGACCAGAAAACAAATTCAAGACAAAAAACCAAAAAAAGTCTTTGCATTTCAGCAAATTTCACAGTTAGGTTTTGTTCATTTAAGTGATGTCTGGGGTGAATAAAGGGCAACAGCAGCTTGTCAGATCACGTGACAGTAGCTTGTTGGACTAAAACCTATCTAGTATTAATTTGATGAAACTGGAGAACTTCCAAAACTACTTTTCACTCTATTCTGGTCTTCATCTAACTGTGAATTTTGAGAAATTTCTTAAAGGCAAATGATTCTTAATGCTTTTAATCATGCCATCTGGTTAATCTTATTGTCTGTTTCTGAAGGAGAAATGCCATGATCAGAAACTGAAGTACAAAATACTATTGATAGTTTGCTATTTTTCCACAGAAAATAGAGGAAAGGAGTTTAATCCAGGATGAGAGCAGAAAAAAATAATCTGAATAACAGGGTAGTCTGCTTTAGACTGTCAGTAAATGTTTTCAGCAAAAGACAAAGCAAGAAATTCACTGACATGCAATAAATTTACTGTTTTTCAGAAGACACCAAGGCATACAAATTGGAGAAAATAAATGGAAATTATATTTATACCACAAGCAAAATGCAAGCAGTACTACATAAATCACCAACAAAGCAGTATGCTAAAATGCAGTAGATTGTGGGTTTATTTTATCTTGTGTGATAATGGAATCTTCAGCTAAGGGTATAATCCTGGTCTGTGCTCAGTAAATCTCCTTGTTGCAGAGTTCATGTCCCTCAATTTAAAGACATGAGTTCAGCAGTAGCTTTAAATTAACCTAGAGTTCTTTCTTATGCTGTTATGAAATCAGTGCAATGGATCAGCTCAAATAACTGACGAACTTTGGCTTAAATAGTGTGCATATTTATACAATTGGTTAATTCTGGCAAATTTGACCCTGTGATTTGTTCTTTTTTGTTCCTCTTGGTAGGGTTACACCCTTCTAAGACTAAATTAGAACTACAAAAGCATCTAACAACACTAAATAACCAGGAGCAGGCCTCTATTTTTGAAGAGGTTAAGGTAAGCTGTCTGTTTCCTACAAGATCTTAAAGCAATTGATGTTTTTTGCTAACATCAATGTGAAGCACCAAAGTTATTTTCATTTTTTTGTAAATTATTCATCATCTTTGTTTAATAGACCATTAGTCACCTTGTGCTTTAATTTCAATACCATTATTTTTCTAGAGCTCTTAAAAACTTGTCTTTTATGAAAATGGTTTATTTTACTAATTTTTCTTCCTCTAATACTACTTGTTTTCCATGAAAATGTTGACTCTCACGGAGTAAAACTGTACACGTTTTTTGGGTGAAGGCAGTAACTTGTACTGTGAGAACATTCAACTGTTACTTTTACCAAACCAAATTACTGTAACATTCCTAGATCAGAAAATTTCCTGCCTAAAATTTACTTTAGATCTTAATACTTGTCAAACTAACTAAAAATTTTAATTTTTTGTCTTCTGAATGAAATCCATTTTCGCACAGAGGAAAGCATTACTGGATTTAAGACAGATGATGAACATTATAGAAAATATCACTGGGCTTGGCACACAAAGATTAGGAAACTTCAGACTTTTTAAAAAATAATGCTTCCTTCCTCTCTTGAGTCATTTCAGTCTCTTTGTGTGTTACCATGTGGCAGTTTATCATCCAGTACCAAATTTGGAATTTACTCTGTGGGAGCGATTCCATGAGCTAAGTAATTTCTTGGTATACAGCAGCTAGTTGGCACTGTTGCCTTTTAGTATTCTGCACACATTTTAATGGTCTAAAGCTTCTAGTAGTCACAGGAAACTGTTAATTGCTTCTGGTGAGAGTCTGCAAATGATTAATGTGATAAAACCAAGGGCCAAGTATGCCTTTTTCAGCTAATTTTTTAAGTTGAACTGCGTGAAATTTTAGTTGTTGTTCCATATGTTGTAACCATAATTTGCATTTTTAGATAACTATCTTTCTAAGGGTATTTTTATTCTTCTGGTATGCTACCCTGGCATTAGTTAATTCATGCTCTAATCCTCTAAATTACATCAATAGGCTTGAAACAGTATATGCTTTTTAAAAGTTAGCTTTCTGGGATTAAATTCTATAGTAAATTGTTTTAAAAACATTTTCTCTTACAATAATTCAGATCTAAATAGAATGCAGCAGAGATAAATATGTTCACCTTGTGCACTACTTTTAAAATACCTATATCATTTCCCAAAAATGAAATGCCCAATGAGAAGGATTTCTAGGAGAAGGGGTTTGCATCATAACTGCAAGACAGTACTTCATGTGTGCTACAAACTCAGAACTATCGTGTTTTGTTTTACTTTACATCAAAAGCAAATTGGCAAAAATATTCTTTTAAGTCTTTATTTGCTCGTGGCAATTTGATACTTCTACAATTGTTCTTCGTCTTTCATGTAAATTCTGTCCTGTATGAAGTGAGGTCAAGTGTTTCTTTGCCTGTGTTGCTGCTTTGCCTGGGACACTGGTGTCCTCTGGTGGACTGGAGTAGTAGCATTAACCAAGTTAAACTTGTTCTTACACTAACAACGTATCGATAGTGACAAAATTGAGTGTTTGCTAACTGTTATACAAATGTATAATTACTGTGCTTGTGGTGTTTTCAATTAAAGAAATTAAGACCAAGAAATGATCAAAAAGAGAATGAGTTGGTTATCTCTGTTTTGAGAAACATATATGAAGAAAAACAGAAGGACCATGTTCATGTTGGAGAAGCAAAACAGGTAAGTAAACATTCAGTTTTAGTTCATGTAAGGAGGAGCCAGGAAAAAAATCTTCCATTCCATTTTTATATCGTTCCAAAGGCAAATTTCCATCACTGGCATTTGGAACTTCAAACTATAGGCAGTGGTGAATGCTGATTTTGGTTATGATTCATGGGCTATTGTCATGAGCCAAAACAGGCATATCTCAGATTTTGAGGTACGTGGTACAATCTGATTTCAGGCCTGGGAGACAAAGGTGCAGACAAGGTAGACCGCTGATTTGCTTGTTTCTTTCTTCTCACTGCAATGAAAATTCAATGTATGTGAGATAATATATAATGAATTTGTAGTTGCTTTCTTCTGATCTGTGGCATTTGCCATCCCACAGTCTGTCTGTGCAAGTCAGTGTCCTGACAACACATTGGATTTGATGAAGACTATTACATTTACTTGAGAGCTGGAAGTTATTTCTTGTGTACACACCACCATCTGAAGTGGCCTCAAGGAGGAGTAGCTGAGGTGGACTGCTGCAGAAACAGCAGCAGAGACTGTCATCCATTCCCAAAGAGCTGGGCTGCTTCTCATTCTGTATCAGGTTGCATCAGTGCTGTTTAACTGGCTATTTATACAGCACAGTTAAGATTTTTCAAAAAGGATGAGTGATTTTTGGGTGCCTTGGTTTGTGACTAACTAACTTGAGACACCTCGAGGAGGTCTGTATTTAAAAGAGGATCAGCACCCATTCTCTGGAAACTTCTAGTTATTTGACCCTTTTAAAAGTCCCGTCTGTCCCACCAGTGCTGGCCGGTGATTCGATTGTGATGACTGCTGGTGGCCATTTGTGATGTAAACTAGCAAATGAATGTATGAAGAGTAATTAGACCCCTGAAGAAATTGGGGAAATAGCAGCAAGTGTTCATTTACTATTTGTTTGCTTTGTTAATCTCTTCTCCTTTTATGGCTTACTGGCTAGTTATTGAGCTCCCTGCAAAAGCAGGAAGAAAACTTTGCATATTTCGTTCTCTGATTTCTTGTCTTGAACATCTCAACAGAAATACATTTTTAAGAAAAAAGCATTGTAGTTATGGCAGGAAGAAACGTTGCCTGAGTTCCTGTATCATCATGCTTGAAATATTTTTGTTTGGTCTAATGTCAGCTGATTGTCAAATAGTTTTCAGTCACAAATGGCTTGGATATACAAAGCAAGATAATATCTTAATATTATATTCAGTGTGATTTGAAAATTCCTAAGGCCTGCTGCAGTCAGTTTGCTCAGTTCCTGGAGCCAAAATTGGTTAGTCTGACACTTGCAAAGATGCCAGTGCTCTAAGAACAGTGTTGGCTTTCCCTCAGTCCATCATTTGTCTTAGCATAGCATTTTATATTTACTCTGATATTTTATCTCCAGAGCTGTGTAATAGCAGATACCTTTGAACATGTACTCTGGCAGTGTTATTTGTCTCGGTAATCATTAACATGACATCTGGATATCCCTGTTCCCTTCTTTTCTGGATAGGTATTCACTTTCATGCTTTTAAACAGTTTTTTTGGAGGGATTTTAATATTTAAATCAGGGAAGGAAAAAGGTGAAATGTGTTCCTAGTACCTGGATCTTATTTAACAAAAATTACCTTCAAAATGAGTGTCTTTTCATAAGAATGTAGTAACAGGCAGCATCTGTGGAAGTGTTCCTACTGGTGAAATATATAGAAGAATTAGACATCTTCTTGGCCTTTAGAAAGCACCATTTTAATATAATGGAGACACTTGAGAATTCTTGTTAATTATGAGCTTCACAAATTTTGATTAATTTCTTGGCTGAAGAAAAATAAATCCATCAGAAATCTCTAATCTATTACACTTAAACATTTAGAATTTGTACAATTGTACTTTGGCATTAAAGAAAATATGTTGAAACGGCCATAAATCCCTATCAAAATAGCAATTCTTTTGAAGCATGCTACTACACTCAATACATTTTCTTTAAGAGATTTCCTGGTCTTATATTAGGATAGTTTGTTAAACTTCAATACAAATATCAATAGAGAAAAAGGCATGAAAAGCCAAGGACACCAGGAGAAAATACTGATTCAGGTTACGGAAATATTCAGACTGTTCACTGAGATTCTGCTCCATGCTGTTGAATATTTCACATTTATATTTTTTAAACCCTTGCAGACTTCGCAACCCCCTGCTGAGAATGCTGTAAGTGAGGTGCCAAGCAGTGCTCCAAGGTTCAGATTAGATATGTTAAAGAACAAAGCAAAAAGATCTCTGACAGAATCATTTGAAAGTATTTTATCACGTGTAAGTATCTTCATGTTCATTGCCTCTGAATAGAATTTCATCATTTTATTTATTTTTGAATGATAGAAAAGTCACATTTGTTATCATTCCAGGTTGTAGCCAAGTGGTTATTAAAGGCACAAAAATATTTGAGTATACATGTTAGAAGAAGACGAAGCAGGGCTTTGGTAGAGAGAATACCAAGTCCTGTAAGAAGTGAACTAATTGATAGATAAGAAATAGTCTATTTCTAAAAAATTTTTTGAAAATTATTATGAAGTTGAACAGGAGAACTTCTGAAAAGTGACCATTGTTGTGTTTCTCTTTGGGATTTAGAAAAGTCAAGAACTAATTATAATTGCTCACTTCTCTTTATGTAGAAGGAAATTATTAGAGAACTGACTAAGCTTTCCTAATGAGATAGTATTTGTTAGTGACACAAAACTGATAAATAATAGGGCATCTGAACTTTTAAATGCTAGAGCTCATTTGAAGGCAGGGAGTGTAAGGAACTTCATAAGGCACTAAGAATATGAAGGCATTTTTTCAATATCACAGCAGGTAAAATTCTTTGTAAACGGTGTCTGGCAATGCCAATTAGTGGGAAAAACTTGAACTCCTATGTGATAGTGATCCCCAGGAAAACAGTGATCCCCAGGAACACGTCAGGAAAATGTTTATTATGAACAAATGGCTGAAAATATCTGCTGAAAGTATACAGCAGCAGTTAAGAAAACAAATAAGATCTCAAGTTGAAGCACTACTGAAATCTCCAGAATGTCTTCTCATTCAAATATTCTTTTTTTTGCACCTCATGGAAAAAGTTTGAGGAAAATAATAGGAGACTTGACAAGACTTCTGCTTGACAAAAGATTAAAAAAAACAGACCTTCTCCTTTTAAAAAAAAAAAAAAAAAAAAAAAAAGAGAGAGAGTTGTGACAGAATGCCAAACAACAAATACTAAGGAGCAAAAGTTGGGCTTTCTCACTCTCACCAGTAAACAGCTAAATTGAAGCAAGATCTAATACAATTTATTGGCTCATAGACATGCAAGTTATAGTGACAAAACTAGGCTTTCAGTGCTTATTTCAGACATGGTATCTAACGTTTTCCTTTGAAACACATGATGGCAAAAGCATGTTCTCCCTGTTATGATTATACATATAGAGAGGATTTTTAGTTGAATATGTCCCGTTATTACTTCCCAGCCAGCATTTCTAGAGTTCACCCCTGCTGTGGGTGTGTTTGGGATGTGAAACATAATGTTAATGTGGTTACACTAACTATAGTGGTTACTGTTCTGCTTTTTGCCAGTTTGTCCTGACTGGGGTAAGCTGTCCTCATGTGAGCTCAGCTGTATATTGGTTGCATTTTCATTGACTGTTTTAATGGAAATTCTTTATTTTGATCAGATCTGAGGCAAAACATTTTGTCTGAGCTTCAAGAATAGTCACTATTGGGAATAACTATAACATTTCATATTTTACCTGAAACCATTATTCAAAGAGAACATAAGCCTTAACTGCAGAGCATAAAAAAGTGATGCCATTTAAAGTTAGGAAGATACAAGTTCCGTAGTTGTGTTAGCATAAAAGAATCCGTCAGTAGGTTTCTTGTTATTTCTCTTGGTTATATAAAAATATTAGTCAAACAAATTATACATTAATATTGTTGAACAGATTATACAAAAATATTTAAGCTTTCTGATTTGTAGGCATTGAAATTATAATATCAGAAATTATGTTTTACCATGTATTAAATTTATGTTATTTTGAGTTCTTTGTAATAGATGGCCTTTTCATTTCTTTGTATCTTGGTAAGAAGTACCTAGTGTGAAGATTTCCTGTTTGGAATGCAGAAGGCACTTTAACAGTAGTTATAGTACATGTGTACAATATGTGATTATGTACATATTGTGGAAAGTACATAAATACACATGAGGATTCCTTAATTCCACAGGATCCTTTAAAATGTTAGTGACTGTCCTGAATGAAGCCTCTTATTTCTCACAGGGACAAAGGCTGTTCTTAAGCATTTCAGGAAATTAAATTTTATACTGTCTTTGAAAATTACAGATTCTGACTATGCTACACAAATCTCTTCTTGATATGCCCCATATATCATAATCTTAACTGCTGGTGTGCTTTATCTCTGCAGGGCAGTAAAGCCAGAGGTCCGCTGGACAGTTCTGGTGCTGGGGATTTGGACAGCTCCATATCCAGTACCTTAAGCAGCACAAGTAAAGTAAGTAAAGCCCTGAGCTGAATATACATACTTAGAAACTTGAGATAATATTCCCTGAAACAACTAGTCAGATGTGAAATGTGGTTACCAACTGCTCCTATAACTGTTCCGTTCTAACATCTGGCATTTTGTTTTGATTATTTCTTGGGAGTAGACAAGCTAACTGATTGTGTGTGAAAAGAAATAAACCCCAGAACAGCCAAACACTATGGTAAGAACAGTTTCACAAAGTAGAGAGGGTAGGTGTGTCCTTTTCTTCCTACCTGTAAGAGTCCTGCTGCCATTTGCTGATCCATAGGGTGTGTTTTTATTCCTGTGCAGAGTCCCTCTGAGGGACTGCACTGATCCCTCATGGATCAGCCACTGCCTTTCCTTTTTTTTTTCCCTGTAGCTTGAAGCAATATTTAAGTCTGTGAGAATTTGCAAGTTGGTTACCCGAGTCATTTTTCATATATGTAATGTGTTAGAATGTGTGTGAGGCCTCTGAGGGCCAACTTGAACAAAGTAATTTCCCAGCTTACTATGGTAACTGAGATTTAGGATAAGAAATAGCAGTCACATGTCAGTACAATGGTGATGTGTAAGATACTGTAGAGTTTCACTGGAGGTTGCTGTACTTTTTGACAAGATGAGACAGACTCATAGTAAATCTGTGTTTCTGTTCTCCAGAAGTTTCAAGTTGCTTTCAGGCCTTTCACTCTGATCCCCAAGCTATAAAAAACAGCAGTGCAATTTGGTCTCCATTTGAATTCGAAGTGCCTTGTACTGTATATAAACATGTATTTTGTATGTATGTATCTTATCATATGAGTCTATATATGTGAAATAAACACATATAGTATCATCTGAATCTTGCAACAATGTGCAGCAAAACAAATGCAATAATTGCCATGCTGCTGATCCTGATTTGGTTAGTTTCAGCCCTGAAAGTACATACCATGAATGCAGGATTGCATTTGTAAGAAACATGAAGCTAAAAGAAGTGGAGTAATTTCCCCCTTTGTGTGGTCAGAAAGCTTTTAGTCTGAATAAAACAATATAAACAAACAGCACAGAAGAAGCCAGTCGTCTTCCCTGGAGGCAGCCTAGCACTCTGCAGACTTGGATACAGCTATTGATTCTCCTCTAGTGCCTAGTCACCGACAGGCTCCTGACTTCAAGTAATCAAGAGACTGCTCTTTCTGTTTATGTTTTTGAAAGAATGGCCAACTGCAGGAAACACATGAGGTGGGTAATGAAGAAAAATGCATGGTTTTGGACTGAAACAGGCATCTAGTCAGAGGATTAAAGTCCTTTGTGTGGATCTTCAGATAGACAAGAGGAGTATCATATTGTTAGATGGGGCACTAAATATACAGTGCTCTGAAATGCCACCCTTTTCATTGCTGTTACTGTTACCCAAACATGACCCATCTGTTGTGTTCTGACCCCATTTCTTCTGAGTTGTATTCAACATACTGTAAAATACAATTACTCTCAAAAGTATTTTTCTCTGTAAGATGGAAACTGTGATTTGTTGATCTAAATTATTAATAACAAAGACATAAAATATCGAAGATTCTTTCTTTGATCTATCATGATAAAAATGTACAGGTTTTGAAGCAGGTCTCTGCAGAATGTGAATAATGATATAGGACTGCAACCTAAAAGATCGATTCAAAATCCACATTTTGATAACCTTATTTTTTGCACTGCTAGGAACCACCATTGTGTGAAAAGGAGAAAGACAAACTTCCCACACTTCCTACAGAAAACGCTGTCAAGACCAGTGGATCAGTGGGTGATCTCTCCAGCGACGCAGATGATGCTCCTCTTGAGCAGTCTGCTACATTACCTCAGCAAAGCTTTCGGAGGCGAGCAAACACACTGAGTCACTTGCCAACAGCAAGCCAGGAATCTCTGGTACCTGTTGAAACATCACCGTCTGTTCCCCAGAGGAAACTTATGAGGTATCACTCAGTGAGCACAGAGACTCCTCACAAAAGAAAGTAAGACTTATTAAAAGCAGGCTATGATTTCGTTTGTTGAGGGCATATTTGGGGATGATAATTGCATACCAGGTATGTCCTCTTTAATGGATAAGAAAGGTGTCACAGCAGGGTGTGTGTCACACTTTGGAGATTTGTAGGTATTCTGTTTAAAAACACTTTTAGCCTCATGTGGAGCCGTGAGAGTGGAAACAATTTTGAAATTATCATCATAGGTGATGGAAGCCCAGATGGGACACAGGAAGTTGCTGAACAATTGGAAAAGATATATGGATCAGATAAAATAGGGGAGTAGGGGAGAGTAAACAGATAAACAGATCAGATAAAATAGAGGAGTAGCTCAGTAGGGGAGAGAAAACATGAGATGTGTAGTCCCACAGTATATGTCACAAAACTAAGTGTAAGCACAACATAGGATTGCTCCTAAAGGATTCAGTTACATTTTTGCAAGCAATAGTCATTAATTTTTGTTGTTTTGATCTATGAGCAGTATAAATAAATGCTACTTCTTGTTGTCTGTTTATAGAGAAAAATCCAGTAGCATTTGTGATGCTGAAAACCTTGCTAGTTGGTTAATTCATATGTGACTTTAAAAAACACAGGCAATTGACATAGATTGCCTAGTTATTGATAGAGGTGAGGCTCCTGTCTAGCTTTTCAGTGAGCCTGTGTAAATTTTACTTGCAAAAACAAGCTACTGCTTGCCTTTGTGCTAAGCCTTCAAGCTCTACTCCTTCATCCTCTACATCTCTAAAGTGTCCCCTTACCTTTGTGGCAATTTTTTTCCCTCCCTCTATCTGGCTTTTTCTAATTACTGTGGAAACATTTCTGTCTGAAGGCTTCTGTTCTACTGCCAAAACTGCTTGTTTACACAAGTTAGACAGTAGGAAATTTGTATGTGTTCCAGCTCATTTTTCCCTGCAGGACGCAGGGCAGTAACAAGCCTGGAACAGGTGATGACAGTGAAAATAAAAATTATGGTATTTGAAAGGAAACAGAACCTAGGTTGCCTTTTTGTCCCTTCTTTGAACCTTTTTAATTCTAAAATACTAGAATGTTTTTGTAGTGCAGTTTAGGACTTGTGTTGTTGGTCTGTTATCTTCGTGAGAGTTGCCTTGATGCTTGTAGCTGCTTGTTCAGTCAGTTCTTATCTTGCTATAGGAATGCAGCTAGAAATTAAGTATATTTTTCATTTCCTTGGTTATTTCTATTTGGGTTTGATCTTGTAATTTTTGGTAAGACCTGAGTGTGTCTGTTCCCTCACATAACTCAAACCAAAAAGAAATCACTGTTGCTTCCCTTTCATAGAAAATGTACAGAACCAGGGGAAATCGAAAACTTAGAAGAAAAGTATACTTAAAGTTCTCAAAAATCACTGGAATGATAGGCTTTTAACAGGTCTTCTACATTTTATGAGTGTTTTTTTAACAGCTTACCTCAATTCATAAATTGTTTCCAAAGTGTAAATAAATTCAGTTCTTCATATAGCATTTTACTTCTCATCCATTAGAACTCTTGATCATATGCCTGACTTTATCACAGAAACCGAAGGGAAGCACATATGAGGGAGAAGAAAGGGGTGTGTCAATTACAGTTTTTTGGGAGTTTAAATTTAATTGTCCTATGAAATGCCTTGCTGAAGCCTGTAAAGTGTGTATTTAGGACTTTGTTGATTGGGTAAAAATGTTCAGCTTCTTACAGTTACTGCATTAACTGTGAAAAACATGGGAAATGGCTCATTTGTATATGCCAGGTCCATTTCAAAGATTGGATAAGGGATTTGGCTTTTTTTCCCTCCCCCTCCTTTCCTCTCTTACTGTGTTTTGTTCTTTGTGCTACTTCAACTCCATCACTCTGATTGGAAACCCACTATACGGTTTGAACGCATCTGTCAGCGAATCTAAAAGTTCTTCTGGTCAACTTGCACGTTCTCCTGCTGTAGCTCGTCTTAGTCCCTCGGCCTCTTCACCCAACTTTTTTAAATATCTAAAGCATAATTCAAGTGGAGAACAAAGTGGGAATTTTGCACAAAAGAGGTGAGCTAGCACCTGTACATAGTTTGGGGTAGAGTTTGTTTTACCGTGTCATAAATATGAAGCTCTATATTGTAAATAATTAAATTTATTTAATATAGACCAAAGGTGATAGATTTTTATGGGAGGGGGAACTCTTTAACTGCTCTGCTACTGAATGTAGAGCTGCTACATACTTTTTTTTGTTTGTTATTATTATTACAGACACATGGACACT